GAAGCGACACCCTAAATCTTCAATCTTGTGCTATCTTGCGCGGATTGCTTCCAAACCCTGTAAAGCGATGGGAACATTAAGAAGCGACACCCCCCATACTGGCGTCCATTACCGGATGTAAGGAGTTTTGACCAAGGTTCATATGAAGCCCTAAACTCTAAACTCTAGACCTGAAACCTTAAACCCCAAAACCCTAGACCTTAAACCAGAAAACCCTAAACCTTAAACCAGTAACCCCTAAATCCTAAACCCTCTAAATCTTACATTTCTAAACCCTAAGCCGTAAACCCTTACAGACTTTCCTGAAACCTACAAGCTAGACCTTACATCCCTAGACCCTAGACCTTAAACCCTTTCAGACTTTCACTCCTACATCCTAATTAAGCCCTAAACCCAAAACCTTAGACCCTTTCAGACTAGACCCTAAACCTTAAACCCTTTCACTGACATCTCAGGCAAGTCTGGCGGAGTTACCTTCTGCGAGGGCACGCAGCCCAGCCTATCTCTGACCCTGAGATTATAAGAGTCAGCCAGAGGCTTTGAGGTTCACGGGTTTTGGGGTTTGGGTGGTTTAGGGTTTACGGGTTTGGAGGTTTAGGGTTTGGGGGTTTAGGGTTGAGGGGTTTAAGGGTTTTGGGGTGCAGGGATTCAGGGTTTAGGGGTTTAGGGTCTAGGGTTTAAGGTAAGGGGCAGTGGGGGAGAGAATATAGGTATTATTTCGGGGGTACATGGGGATTATATGGGGGCTATCATAGGGTTTGACTCCCCCACTCTCCCTTAAGCACCAGTAAGTAAACTCCAGGTTTACCACCGTTGTTTTAGGGCTTAGAGTTCAACCCCAGACCCCCAAGCCCTAAACCCTCAATGGCTAAACCCGGTAGCCGAAAAAATCAATAATATCATACCCTTCGGCGCTTATATAGTTGCAGCATAGTGTGCCCCTAGTTTTTATTGTTATGAAACAGGCTCCTACATCATGTAGCTACGGGGTTAGGGCTTCAGTGCTTTGCGTCTTAGCTTCTAAGTTGGTTTAGCATGTAGCGTTTCACAAAAGGAGATACTCTAACAGCCCCCCAAAATAAGGTTCTTTGGAGAAAGTGTTGTAGGTTTTGCTATTTTCATGCAGAGGACGTAAAGAAGCATGTTTGGAGTTTCAAGATAGGGTCAGGTTTGCAGTGGCTGTTGTCTGGAGACATCTTATGGCAGAAGAGTATGGGCCGAAGATTCGAAGACGGGGCATTCATGTTACGCCGTGCGCTTTCAGGGGACATGAAAAATCAGTTGAAAGATATCGAGATGCCTGCTTCTAAGATTTAACTAGGTGCACAGTGGGCTTGCCCGGACAATTTTGTACTTCCGGGTTGCTTAAGCCGCGACTCATATTTGCAACTGGTGGAGATGCGAAGCCTGCAAAGTTGCTAGCGATGGTCCCTGGGATGAACGGATGCGCCTACATAGCCCCTACACAAGCTACTGTCAAGATTAGGCGTATTTAGGGACCCTTAAGTGGCCATCGGAGTCCTTCTTGCAGTTTAGTGTAGTCCTTAATATCGTCCCGCACGTCAGCCAGTAGTCTTCGGGCAATTTCGTGCCAACACCCTGTAAAACACAGGGGTAGCCCAAAAACGAAGGCCCCAAAACGCCCCAAAACTTCATCAAAAGCACTGCAAGACTAAGGGGGTAAGCCAAAAACGAAGGATCTTATTTGGAGATAAGATTTCAACCTTTGGATTTTGCCGATAGCTGATGTCCATTAAATCATGTAAAAGATATTGACTGTAGCTCAAATAACCCGGTATCATCCCTGTATAATCCTAGACAATCCCTTAAACCCTAAGCCCTGGATCCCTATGATCCCCCCTTCAAGGAGCTTAGATTATAGCCCTTAAAATGTAGTAGCGTGAGGGCAGCAAGCCTGGTTGGCCAGTCTTCGGCTGTTTCAGCAACGCAGAACTGGAGGGGCTTGCGGGCTTCCTCCGCCTTGCTAAGCCCACCCAAATGCTAGAGTAGGGCCGTAGGCTAGTAAGAGGGGTCTGGTAACCCCGAACCCCGAAATTTGGACCCTATACCAGTGTCATGTGACTAGAATTGGATCCTAATTGTAAACGCTAGCGCGCGCCCGCCTCGGTTGGCGGGGCTTCCCACTGTAGGAACATGTAATTATAGATATACAGGTATTTAAGTTAGGTATATAAATTGAGT